AAAAAAATATAATTTTGCATAGGATGGTAAAGTACATTTTAGCCCAGATTTAAACCAAATCCACCTCAAAATTATTTTCTGTCTCAATATAATGTAATCAGAAATATGCACATCAAAATTGTGTATATTTTGGTATTATTATTATTGTTTTTTGTTTCATAATTTGTATTTTATTTTTGATCTTCTGTAACATATCCACGAAGAGAGTTATGGTTGGAATATATGTTTTTATGTGAGGCAAAAATTGATCGCGAAAAACATGGTTGGTCATCCATCCAGCTTGTGATACTGGAAAATGCTTGACTAATTGTTTAAATTTAAATTTGTGAATGATGACTGATGAAAGCAAATTATTATTTTTATACAAAATATGTTTTTCGTTAATAAATCTATGCAAAGTTTGACYACTGTTTTCAGGTAGTTAGCAAATGTTTCACATACTTTGAATTTTTATTTTTCAGAATACTTTTGTACTTGGCAGTGTTTTCGCATTTAAGTTTAGACATGTTTTAGAAATGTTTACAAAAGAAGATTATAAAAAAAATCAGTTCCCTCCTAGTTTAGACCATATTCCTGATAATGAAGCTTCTATCATACGATCATTGAAAAGTTTATATGACCTCGATCCACGCTTGATGTTGTTTAAAGTAACTACAAAAAATGTTCTAAATTTATTTAATTTAATTTATGATTTAGCTTAAAAAATTGATTAAAAATAATTTTTTGTTATTTTAACTAGGGATGGATGAACCAATTTCTCTATGATTATCGCCCAGAAACATATCGACTTTCACTTACTATTTCTGTATATGTTAGATTAAAAGGATCAATACTTATTATGTCTTATCCATATTATAAAGTTCCTAAAAGATCTTTATATAATGAATCCAAACCTAAATTGTTGTTTGTTAAAGAGTGCATGTATAAGTTATCAAAATGTAACATTACTTTATTACCTCAAAATTTAGTAAATAAAAGGTATGTAGTATTTATATGTTAAATATTATAGAAAATAACTGTTATATTTTTTTAGAAAATGGAGTAAAAAATACCCTATTTGTATAGAATTAAGTCCTGAGTCTTTAATCGGTGTTCGACGCTCATTAAAATTTAAAAAATTTATTCAAGGACCAGACGAGTGGATGTGTAAAGATTATGTCACACCGTCATTACAAGCTAGTAAAATATATTGATAATTAATAACTATTTTTAATGCATTATAGTTAGTGATGTTTCCATCAAATTTGATGAAGTTACTCAACTACTCAATACAATTTCAATAATAAAGTTTGCGATGTTAAAAAAAAGGCCTTCCATATCCTTAATGTTGACTAGAGAAACAAATATTGTAAATATTAAGTTCCAGAGTCAATGTCTTTGGTGATTGGTATAATAAAGGAGTAGTGTTAATTATAGCAAACAAATTTTAATCAACTTTATTTTTATTATTAATTGGTTTTCAATAAATACATGAATTTCCCACTGCAAAAACAATAACTCTTTTCTCTCTCGTAAGTATTGAGATCAGAGAGTATACGCAATATACTCACAATTTTTTAAAATTAATACTGTGAGTATACCTTACTCCACTAGTATACTCCATATAGCTTATATGGAGGTATACTATTTACCGTATAGGAATTTAAAGAGATATAGTATAATTTAAAAATAGAATAATTTTAAAAATGTTTTTAAAATAAGTTATAACTAATGTACAACTATAGTTACAACTATAGTACCGTCCTAAGGAAGAATGCTGTAAATTTCCTTCATGCCATTTCGAGAAAAATTAATTTTTATGTTTAGTAGTTTTTGGTAGTTCTATTTTCATAAATATAATATTTTTCAAAGTAAAATACATATTTTCTTACGGAAATATACTCTATGAATGCAATGGAACTATTCAATTTTATTTAAAAATTTTAATTTACCAAGATATGCTTGTTTTGATATTCATACTAAGTACATACTTAATTATTTAGAATAGGTTACTTGGCAAAAATACCGTAGCATACCAAAATGTACTAATCACTAATAATTGAAGAAATAACGCTGTAGATTATCAATACTAATTTTTAGTTTTAATTTATAACACAATTTGAAAGTAATTACAATATATTTATCTTGAAATCAAAGTCATCTAGTCATTATATATTTTTAATATACATAAAAATTAAAATATATGAAAATATGAGATACACAAAATAAATTATTAAAAGAGATACATGCAGCAGTTTAACATATTATATAATTTAGATGAATTATTGCTTATGTACCGTTAAATTTTCCCAAAATTGTTAATTAAATTATAAGATACGGCTTATTGACGACCAGTTTTCTAAACATCAATGCCGTAAATATAGATTATAATGAAGTGCTAAGTAARWACGCYGTATTTWAAAAAAAGATACGGCAATCTTCCCTAGCAAACTGTGATTACGGCGTTTTTGCTAGGCATTGATTATATTTAATTACAATTGCGGCAATATTTGTTTCTTATAAGCACACATTTCTCGATGAATAACCATAGTTACGGTATTTTTACTTAAAAACAACATGTAAAACTGTAATGTTAAACATAATACAGACGTTATCTCATTTTATTTTATTTTTTTATTTACGGCATTCTTCCTTAGGACGGCAGTAAAGTAAAGTCTTTCTAGGATATAAAAAACAAGATAATGACAAAGCTAATTTTGAATGATGCCTAAATTAAAATGTTCAAAACAAATTAGTTAATTTTAATGCACATCCAGCTTTAGTATTTGATTTTGTTATTTTATTTCTTGAATTTTAAATTATATTCATCATAGAAGCATATTATGAAGAGATGTTGGAATGTGGCATATCAGATATGAAAGATGATTTTGACTTCAAAAATGAAGCTAATTATTCCGAAAATAAAGATAAGAAAAAATCAAAGTCTGATGTAAGTTTAATAATTTTAATATTATTTTATTTGTATACTTATACATTTTTACGAATTCTCCAAGTTAATCTAAATTTATTTTCAAAAAAACAAATTTTTAAACTTTTCTAGCTAGAAATTATTTTGAAAATAAATTATAATGTAGTATAAAATGCAATACTAATGAATAAATAACAATAACTTAATTTTAGGTGATCCAAATTGATACCAAAAGTGACCGTAAAATCAATGAATCTGAGGCAAGTACATCAAAAAATGCTGAAAAACCTACTGACTTGGAAGAAAAAAATGAAGTAGACGGTGAATGGAAAACTGATTCCGATAAAATATATTTATTTGCTAGAAATGACCCAGAAAAGGAATTATGGTTTCACCGATTATCTCTTTCTTCTGCATTTGATCTGGTGGCTATTGATGAACTGACAAATAAGAAAAAACAAAATGTAGAAGAACACAATAAATTTATCAAAGCTTATCTTGGTTATCTATTTAATGTTTACGAATTATCTAAAAATCCAATATTGACCGATGTTCAAAAAAAAAAGGAGGTATGATTTGCGATTTTTTATTTAATTATTTTTTTTGCTTGTACAAAGTATTGCAATCTTGCCAGTTAAAATATTAAAGGAAGTCCTATCATGACTGCGGATTTCAGTCCCAATATTTGTATTATACCATCATCCTATCTGTTAACAAACAACAAACATATTGATTWWAAAAAAATTCTAATTGAGTGGAAGCCAGTAACATTCATTTTAGCCTTTGTTTTTTTGTACAGCTGCGTACATAAAAATTGTGCCTACCAAAATTTTTTTGTTATAGCTTTTAGCAAATTACTGAATATCTTTTTTATATGCTTAATGACCAGTATGCCAGTATAATATTTAGAACCATTTGTTACAATGGTGGGAACAAACTACAGGCTGTGGAAGCCAGTGCTAATTTTTAGTGTCTGTGACTATTATAATTGTATTAATTTAAGTCAGTAGCTCTGATTAAATATATAATGCATTTATTGAAGTGCAGTATTTTTAATGTAATATATAACTAAGAGCAGGGCCGGATTGGAAAATATCAAGTAAAACTTGGTGAGCCACGACAATTTTGGGCCGCTTAAACCATGCGGCTCCTGATTGAGAATGAGTTGAGTTCAAAATTAAAGAAATAGAGTCTACATTCTGGACTTGCATCATAGTGTATGGTTGTAAGTTGGCCGATTAAGCACAAAAAACTCGGTGTGCTGAATTTGTCCAATCTGGTCCTGACTAATAGTCTTATTTTTACCATGTTTTTAATTAAAAGTAACTATTTTGTTGAGTTATTTATTTGTAGTATAAAAAATAAAAGTTTTAAAACAAATCAAATTTTGAATAGAATGTGAAAAATCTGTATTTTCCATTATACAGCATAAAATTGCATGATTTTCAMACTGAGATAACAAAATGAATACTAATCCAATAGGTAATAAAAACACACTACTCTTTGACATACTCTTATTTTTTTAATTTTGATTCAAAGATCACGGGTCTATAAAATTGATTGCTATTTATGACGGATATGTCGAACAATTGCAAAAAAAAATATATATATTAAAGATAATATTATTGATCATGTATTTATAATCAATGGTAATATCAAAAAGTTGTGTATTCCTTATTAGTTATTATCTATTGGAATAACATCATTTTTTTTATTAAAAAGTGTGAAAACTATACAATTTTCTATATTTTTGAAAATATAAATTGCTTTCATTCATTCAAAATTCAGTTTTCTTCTTTTTTAAAAATTAACTGGAAAATTACTGTTTTCAAATTTTCAAAAAACAAAATGTAATTTAAATGTTTTTGATGTTTTTTTGTGACCATGATAAAAGGGACTGTCAAATATTTTGCATTTAAAAAATTGTATTTTAATTTCTCTATTATATTTCAGACTAGTTCAACTGAGTTCCCTATTAATTTACATTTCATAAGTGGCAAAAATAGAAAGGGTTCAAAAAAATCTAATTTTAAATATTTATTTTGATCAATCTAATAAAAGGTGAAGTCTGTGATATTTTCACTAGAAACTTGAATAACATTTTTGTCTTCAGTTATTTCCTCAGATTTGTTAATCATTGATTTTTTTATGCTGGTTTTATGTAAAAAAAATATGATTAAGGGTAGAGAGGAGCCACTCATTATGGCATATTGACTCAATGCCATTATGTTCTTAAGATAATACTAGTATGTATTTGTAATTAATGCCTAATGGTAACAATCATTTTTACAACTATGCCCAACATTTGAGGGGGATTTCATCCATAACCACTCTATTTTCATAAATACAGTTGTACTGACTTGAAGCACAAAGATAGAGAAAAACGATCAGAAGAAAGAGTAGTTAATATTGATATTAATTTAATTTGTATTAATATGAACAATTTTTCGCTATTTTATAGAAAAATGTACTGTATTTTTTATTAACTTCTTTAATTTTTGATTTTTATCTTAATCTTGCATACATATTTTTAAGACAAAAATATTTTTAGAATTTGATGACAGCTCAAATAAATGAAATTTCCGATGAGTATTTATGGTTAAATATGCTTTTGGGCCGTGTGTGCTTTGAATATTTACAAAATCCTAAAATACTTGAAATGATTGCTGACAAATTCCAACGGAAGTTAAATGCTATTAGGGTAAGTTTAAACTCATTTAAAAATAATAACTACTGTAAGCTAATATTTTTATGCTAGGCATAAAATTAATGTTATTTATTACATATAGCTGCCAAAAGTTATGGATATACTTGTGATTCGAAGTTTATGTTTTGGTAAGGGAGAGATTCCAACTATACGCAGTGTATCCAAACCTTGGATAGATCATCGAGGAATATGGTTTGAAGTTGAAATTACTTATAATGGAACATTTCAAGCATCAGTTGATACTAAGCTTAATCTTATGAAATTAAAAAAGGAGGAAGCTCAAGAACAAAAAGATGAAGTGTATAAAGAAATTACAATTATTTACTACAGTAGAACTTCAATAACTAAAATCTTTTAGAAGCAAAAAAAAAAAAAAAATAGTGTTATCAAAAATTTGACTTATAGGCGTGCAAGTTATTGAAGTTCCGCTGTATTCTATTAGTTTTAATATTATTTTTGTTTATAGCATTTTCAAATTATTAATAATTATATATTATTTCAACTAAGTATTTGATAACTACAAAATAGATAGTTTTAAATCTCTAAATATTATATTTAAAAAAAATAGTGTTTTAATATTTTAATCTTAAGARTATGTTACATCCACTTATTTTTGCAGCATTGTACAAATATACAACATAACAAATTCTGTAATAGCTTAAAGAGAACATCATATCCAAAAGTGTTGTCTCCGTCTTATAAATACAATGTATCAAAAACTGTTTTGTGCAGGACAATTTAACACCATCTGTATTTATAGCAAAATTACCAAAATTTCACAATGCATAGGGAAGAACTTATGTTAGTGTTTTTATTTTTTTTAACTAACCATTAATTTTAAATAATTAATTTAAAAAAAAAATCGAATTTTCTTAAACTATTAACTTATATTGTATTTATGTTATGTTATTCAAATAATAAAAATGCTACCACACAGATAAAAATCTTCCCTATATGTTGTAAAATAATGGTTATTCTTCAAAAAATACAGCAAGTTTAAAGTTGTCCCGCACAAAATAGCTTTTGTGGTATTTTATATGTTTATAAGATGGAGACAACACATGTTGGTGTAGCATCCTCTTATAAGTATAATTAATTGGTACATTAGTATATTAGCACATATTTAYATGTACATTTTTAATATAGCAGACTAAAAAAAAATATATCAATAGTAAATATTTATAAGTAGATTCAAATTAATAAGCCACAAGTTTCCAAAATTCTCACTTTTAATAATTTAAATTCATTTGGCTTATGAATAAATAACTATAATTATTATTTAGTAGCCTATCTACATTTTTTTTGTTATTTCATAAAAATTATTTGTTTTGTTTGTATGGTTTTATCTGTTTCGATACTTAATTACCTATTAATTTAACCTATTATCCTTAATTATTAATACTAATGACAATTAAATGAGATAATTTTAGTCTACAGTGTCATAAGATAAATGATTATTCTCTAGGAATTATTATTAATTAGTAGTTAATATTTTAATTTTATATCATTTTATTTTTCATAATATAGAGCAACTTTGTAATCCAACTKGCTCGAAGTGTAGTTTTCCATAACTAGTCCTGTACATTATACATAACTACATTATATATTTTTTATTTTTTTAGAAGAAGTGCTGTGTACGACTCGAATCAGGAAGATAGTGGAGAGACATCTAATGATGAAGGGCATACACGAGAAGATGTTAATTTTGCAGAAAGATTGTTCGAACAGCAGGCATTAAATGACCCACCACCGCCTCAAGGAAGCCGTATTACAAGGTTTATGGAAAATTGCTCTTCTGGTTTTCTTGAACTGAAATTTGTAAGAAGAGTTTTTGAAAATGTTGCTAAAAAGGAACTTACTCTTGTAATTGATGTAAAACAATTAGTTGGAACTCTTATTATAAATTTGCCTCCACCACCCACGGATCGTGTTTGGTAAATTATTAATTTAACAACAATTTTAATAGTAATACAATATATATATTTATAATATTCATTAATAATAATTTGTAATAATGAACATCTAATACCCTTGTTTGATTGTTATAAACTATAAGTATATTTCTTTAATAATCAAATGCTTAAGTTTAGTTTATAAATTTTTTTTTCATTTAGGGTTTCTTTCAAAGGAAGTCCCCAAATAAATTTTGAAGCTAAGCCAAAAGTAAATGACACAAATGTTCCTCTCATGGATGTCCTTACAAAAGCTTTACATAATATTTTAATTAAAGAATTTGAAGTAAATTGATCTATCATTATTACATTTTTAGAATATTTACTTATATATTTATGTATTTACAATATTATAAATTTTATTTTTACAGAAAGTTATTGTTCTACCGAATATGATTGATTTTTCTATACCATTGATGAATAGTCAATATTAATTTAAATCTTAAATATGAAAAGATTATACACTCGGTTTAATTAATCAGAAAAAGGTATTTGTAGTTTCTATAAAAAATATATATGATTTATATGATTATAATAAGGATGTCAGTATTCGTTACCAATGATTTAAGAAAAATACAAAAAAAAAAAATATGACTGTGATAATGTTTTAGTTTTGCCAATGTTTTATTGCAATTTATGTTTTAATTTTAGTTTGTAACTTCTTCCATTGTTTAAATAGTATTTGGCTATAAATAGTATCGTTTATTTATTTTGTAAGATTGTTTAATGAAAGTAGTTCGATTAGTGGGAAATGCACATATGTAACAAATGGATACAAATCCTATATTCAAAAGGCTGTAATATCTAATCGAATTATGTACTGGTTACTTTATACCCTTTCTGTTTTAAGATTTTAAAAATGTGTTTATTTCATTGTTAATGTTAAGTGGGGTTATTTAACAATACCCAAAACAAAAGAACTATTTTTCAGATTTTTCTATTAAATTATATTTATTGTTTATATTGTAATATTTTTATTAATGGTTTTAATACATTCATTTTGAATCATTTTAGTGTTGATAACTTTTATAATATTTCACTGCACACTTTTTTTTGTATTAAAATATTATTATTTATTAATTTAAGGATGTCCATATTATACTTTGAGTCAAAAATCTACACTATGTAATTATTAATTAAATTATGTTGTACAAGTACGTACAATTTTACAATATTATGTGTTTTATTATTGATTTTATAATATACCAATTATTTTAAAATCAATTGTATTATTATTATATAAAGGTGTGGGAGGACGATCATAAAGCTAGTTACAAATTAGTTGTTATTRTAAATTCGAGCAGTATCAGAAAATTAGCTGTTGATATTATGACAAGGGGTAGACTAATAGCACTTTTTACGGATATTCAATACTTCAATATATGTTACCAATAAAAAATTGATGATTGATATATTTCAAGAACAATATTTTCCACATTAACCGTATTGATATTAAAAGATAACCAATATAAAGTTCTTATCTGGTTTCTCCAGATGTTTCAAATGATTTGGATTTTATTTTTTTGTGACTTTAGACTTATAATTATTTTTAACAGTGGCGTGCAGATCCCTTTTTCCATGTGGGGCAAAGTTAATTTTTTTACACCCACCCAAAACTAAAAGTTATAAATAATTTATGTTTTATTAAGGGCCTTTATAAAGTTTTATGAAAACACAATATTTATWAAATAAAAAAAAAAACCACACCCACCTAATTTTCAAGAGGGGCCTAGGCCTGATTTGTGTCTTATCTGCACGCCACTGATTTTTAATGTATGCTAAAATAAATTGTTTTATTTTATTATAAAGAAAATTTATCAATAAATGAATACTTAAGTTTTATATCACTGATATTTAAAATGCGTTCAAAATTTGATACACCTTTGTCCAAAAATTATTATTATTGTTTGTTTATCATGGAATAAATTCCAATTACATTTTACATATACAAGAAAGTTACATGAATGTTTAGGGAAAAATGAGAGAAAAAATACATTTGTATATATAAATTAAATTGTGTGTAAACTGTACATAATAATGCAAAATATAATTTAATGAGAAGAAAGAAAAAAACTTACAAAAATTGAAAATTAATGAACATATAAAGAGAGATCATTAAGTGAACAGTGAAATAAATTTATATTATTTATGGAATTCCCTATAGCCATTAGAGTATTAGGAGAGAATGACATATATTTTGATGAAATGTTTGGTGGATAGAAAAATTGTTTTTGTCTAGAGTTTAGGGGATTTATTTTGAAGGATAAACGTTCAACTAGTTCTGAGTAATCTATAATATTATGTAAKAGTTTATATGGGAATTTTAAATTTAGTTGTTTTAATTTTTTTCAAGTGATAATACACGGAAGTCTATTGTGACATTGAAAGCTTAAAAAATTATTCTGAATTAGAGGAAGATCTTTATTTTGGGTTAATTGAGTTAGTGAGCCAAATCAAATAGGTAACACCATATACCTTTTTGTATGCTGAATCTATTTACTGTCCTATAGTGACTAGTGAGGCAGTATTGCTTCTAACGTTAATAACAATAGTAATATAATGCAATGTTTTCTGTGAAAACATAATCAACCACAATACTATGAAGATTTTTATTTATTTTTCTTATAATAGTGAAATAAATTACTTTATATACATAATTTCAAAAATAATATAAAAATAATTATTGATATAAACTGACAGAAAATCACTCAGATTTGTTTTTTTGTGTACAATAATGTATCATTGTTTAAAAATTTAACTCAACCATTACATTCGCTCTGAGAGTGTGATAATCAGCAACTTGTTARCATTTGCCTAGTGCAAAGTGTAGAAAACTGCTGTCCATGGTATATACTAATAAGAGACTTAACATAATGAGAATTAAATGATGGAATTGTATCTTTTATCATCATACACAAATAATGGAATAATTCCAATATCATAATAAAAATGTAGTACTTATAAATAAATTATAATGACTAAAAAAATAGTGTTAACTTATTACCAAAAAGTATTAATAGTAAAAACTAATAAGTATAACATAATAAACATTAGGTTTCTTAAATCTAACTATCTTATCTGTTTAGGGTAAGTATTTTATATCTTGTTCACATACAATGGACATCCCCCTAAAAAAAAACAATTTTATTTTATTTAAAAACTACAAAAACATATAGGTGATATGCACAGAATATACATAAATAAACTTACTCATTACTTCTTTTCACTTCATAGTATGTATCGACCATGTCTCTGGCAGATAATTTACGTAAGAAATTTGGATCATGAGTAATGATGAGTAATTGGAATGATTTTTGAGAGCTGCGTCGTGTTATAATTCTTTATGATAAAAAAAATAAATTATAGATATTAAAATTAAAACAATGCTGTTATTGTTTATTTAACATACTCTGATAATGATTCTGCTAAGCTTTGAATGTTAGATTCATCTAAATTTGTTGTAGGCTCATCTAATGCTAGTATACCACAATTTTTACTGAAAGTTTCTGCTAATGCCATCCTTACAATTAAGCATGCCAAAACCTAAAAAATATAAAACCAAAAATCAGACATGTATTAAAAATTAAAAATTTGTTTACTTCTACTTTTTGGCCAGCACTGCATCTTCCTCGCATATCCAATTCAACTTCATTTTTTATCTGAATAACCCTATAGTTAAAGACTCTTTTTTTAACTGAAAAATAAAAATATTTAGTTAGTAAAACTATTTTCAAAATAATAATTTATGTATATATATTGTTTATATAATATGTCATTACTTGTATCGGTATGTATTGGCTTATCATCAGAAGATGTTTTTATTTGAATATAGTCAATGTCATTGCCAGTATAAATATCTCTCCATAACTTTTTAATAATACTATTAATACTTTGCATTCGTTCTTTGTGAAACCTATTCATTGCCCATTCAAGAGCTTTGTTATAYTTAGTTAAATCTTTCTCAACACGATTTAATATTTCTAACTGCACTTTTTCATGTAAGTATATGTCTTCAGCATTTTTGAAATGAATAGCTTTCAACTCTTCTGTTATATGCTTAATGATATTATCCAGCTCTTGTTTTCTACCAAGAGATTTATTTTTCTAAAAAATAATAGATATGTTTGATTTTTTAAGATAATATTTATTAGAAAACAGAATAATATTACTTCGACAAATAAGGCTTGAATTTTTTTCCTGTTGTTTGTTTTTTCATTTAACAAACTATCCACATCCATAGTTCCAACATCTTCATGAAATTTGTTTATTTCAGATAAGCATTTAATTTCTTCTTTTGATTTTTGTCTCAATTTTTTATTGTTTTCTAAGTCTATTTTTTTAACCTTAAGAGAACATATTTTAGTAAAATAATGTGAATACATTTTTATTTTTATTTTTGATAAAAATTTTGTTTAAGACTCAGTGATAATTTTATCTTAGTTGTATCTGAAGACACTCTTTATAGTCGATAAATGGCACTGTAATGAACTTTTATGGGGTTTCTGGTACGAGTACCATTTAGGACAAGTAGTTTATGAGTTATAAGTATTTAAAGTTTAGATTGGCAGAGTGAAGTGGTATGGGGTTACCCCGCAAAATGTTTGTCCACTACTCCGCTTGTCTAAACTTTAAATACTTATAACTCATAAACTAATCGTCCTAAATTCGATTTTTATGAATCAAAATACTTAGAAAAATATTCTGCTTTGGAATATGAAATTAAAACTCTATGTTGTCATTCAAAAAAGTAAAAAACTTAAAAAATTATAAGGATAAAAAATATTTAAAAATATAATTTTTTAATAAAAACGTTTGTTTTTWAACAATTTGAAACAATGTAAAAAAATATTTTGAAAAAATTCAATACTTTTTTAAATAATGAGTGTTCTTCGATAAAAAAAATCACCCTGTATAGGCCAAAAGTATAAATTCCTAGTTACTGAGTTATTTTTAAGTTCCTAAATACTGGATTACTAATAGTGGAATAAATAACTTAAATAGCAATATATATATATATTTATAATTAAATACTTAGTTATATAGACTGATAGACTTTCATCACAAAGAATCGTTTATTGAAAACAATGATTTATAGTTCAATTTAAATTTAACACATACATTGGACGTAACTCAAATTTAAAAATCTTACTTTAAAGACCTCTTTGGACCCAACTGTGAATCTAAACCATCCAGGGACCCAATTAAAGATATTATACAAAAAATTTCATCAAAATCAATCCAGCTATGTAGATCAGTAAGGTACAGTAACATAGAATTGTATAGGTAACATATAAAGATTCCCGAGTGTTATTCTGTTATAGTTAGTGAGTGAAGCTTTTGTACAACTTGAATAATTATGGTAAAAAATATATCAATAAAACCTTTGAGAGTGGTTCATAGTATATTTTTCCCATTAGGTAGCCGAAGGCCACAAAAAAGAATATCTGTTTTTATTTATTTGTTAGGTTACCATTGGTTATAGATTATCATTGGTTACTTAGAATAAAAAAATTATAAATTTACATAAATGTTGTTTCTTGGTAATCAATTAAAACAATTGGATTGGCTTCACTCGAATTTTTTTTTAACATTTGTAACTCTTTAAATAAAGTTTTAACCAAAAAAAAAATTCGCAGTTGTTCAGAAAGAGTCCTCACACAAGGATGTTGAAATATATGATATTTATGAGTTATAACACCTCACAGATTATAATAGTAATAAAAGATATTATTGTTTATTTTATTTTTTTGCACATAAATGTTACCATTGGTTTCTCATGCAAACTCTGATTAAAGAAATTAAACTTAATACTAATATGAGAATTGAATGTATATTTGTAGCTTATAACCTCAAAAATTTGTTTGACCAATTATGTAAACAGTTTGAATTTTTTTTTTGTTTATCAAGAACATTTAAAGTAATAAGGACCACTTTGATTTAACCAAGTGCAATATCTAATCTGCCATACA